CGGAAAAGGTAATGTGGTTTCCTCTAGGCCAGATTGGCATTAGGCATAGGAAAAAGTAGGTAATCATTTAAGGCAGCAGACCGATAGGAGTGGCAAAATTATGGTCATAGCAAGAGAATGACCGAGCAAGAGCAGCCACTGCACCTGGTCTGTGCTAGTGAGAGTGATTTAATGAGCTGCCTTCCTCCCAGCTCTGCCTGGGGCATGGGGACTAAGTACAGCTCCTGGCTTGATGAATGGTTGGCCATGGTCCTGTTGTTAAAATGCCCGTTCCTACTTCTGGCTCATCCTTACACGAGGAAGAAAATATATAAGTACTGAGGCACTCGAGGGCTGGAGAGGAAGTAAAGAGAGGAGGGCTTGGGGGCTGGTTCTGCTCCCCCTTTCCCTTCATGCTGACAGACCTACAAAAAAAAAAGGACTGTAGGTGGGAGAGATGTTGAGGATGTTGGCAGTAATGATGCTTTCGTTTGCCTCAGTGATTCATTTGATGAGGAAGTTGCTGTGCTGATGCTACTGTAAAATTGAATGTTGCTGCCCTGGGAAAGGAGCAGTAAAATATTTTGTTCTCGTCGTTACGGTGACAAAATCTTCTTTTGCTTGGCCCAGCCTTAAAAAGGTGGGAAGCAAGGAGAGGAGAATGTGTCTGTTAAATCAAACCCATGAAGAAATCTAGTGGGCAGCTGCATTTGCTTTGGGAATGGCAAGTCAAGGAGAAAACCACTGCAGTCTTCAAACTCTCTTCCTGTCGAGTTGTGTGAAGCCGTAGTTATGATCCTGTCCCTTTTAACTGCCTACTTTGGGTGTAGGGATGACTGGAAGGATCGAGGTGGGTTGTAGCAAGCTCTTCCCAGAGTGAGACTCTGTGTGTGGGAGGAGGAGTTTGTACTATGCTCCAGCTCTACATGTGTGCGGTGCAGGACTCAACTCTTCTCATTGCAAGGTGGTACAAACAAAACAAAACAAAACCCCCCGAACCAACAGTGCCTTATCAAACACTGAATTAATCCTCCCCTAAACTGTGTATAATAGGTAAAAGCTAAATCTGTGCAGAAATCTTCTACAGGTTCTCCACACACATTCCAGCTTCCTCCAGAAGAAATAAAAAAACTATAAAAGTATCATTATCTTAGAGGAATAAGAAGCCAGTGAAAGTATTATGCAGTAGCTAAAACATCATTTTCCCCCACAAACCTAGCAAATGTTCTACCTAGTCAGATGTAAATACTACAGAGAGACTACTGTTTTTCATTTATTATTTCCTTGCTCAAGTCACACTGCTGGGCTGTGATAAGGAGATTAGATCAACTGGTCTGCAAACACTGTTTCATTCCAATTTGATTTGAAAAGCAGAGTTTAGTGAGTCATGGCTTGATGCAAAATTGCAAAATTCAACCGGAATATCAGCAAAATACCATGAACCAGAATAAAGCTTTTGGTAGCTGCAAATCATAGTATAAACTGGAACCTCTCCAGAACATTGAGCTAACCATTACTCAGAAAACATAAGGTCTGGAGTCTGCGCTGATGTCTGTCATCCAACCTATGTACCACCAACCATAGGGTTTCATATAAAGTTCATTTAAGAAATTAGAGCACACCTTTCAAACCTACTCTTACATATAGATTAGCTACTTCACAAAAAATAATTATAATACTGCTAATAAATAAAGCAGATACTCAAGCCACTATCACTTGTGATACATACATGAGAAAGGATTAACGCAGTCATCCTGCTGGCCTTTTATTCAGTGAATCATAAATAACAATTCATTTGGCCAAATGCACTTTACTTTGAACTTTGGAAAAGCCAATGAATTTTCATTATATGTTGTTACTGAATTACTCTTTCAGTCATTTTCCATCAGCCTTGTTTCCAAATCATGCATCACAATCATTTACATGCTTTTTATAATTGAAAAATATTAATAATGCGTTAAATTGAGAGGAAATGGCTTTTGAAAAGTGTTCTTTTTGTGCTCTGAAGTTATAGTTACAAATATGCTTGTTTGGTTCTCATGCAGAATTGTCTGTTGGCAACTCAGCTCCCTAAAAATATTACCTGTGGCAGTATAAAAATTCCCTCAGGTTTTCAGCAGCCCCTATATGCCCTCTGGTGGTCGGGGATGACAATCGCACAGTACAGTAGAAAAACATTTGATCAGACATCATAGTGCTTAAGGAAGGAAGGTTTTTATTTGAGTTTAATCAGGTAAATGGTGAGAGAGAGTGTACTGTATATGTAACTAATAATTTTCTAGCTGTGAATTCTTCTGTTAGTATGATGCCTAAATTGATTGCCCATTTACTTTCTAAATTCACTCAAGCCCAGGGATATATGTTCCTGAATTTTTAGAATGAGTTGTAAGTTGAACTCACATTCGGTGTATGCAGAATGCAAAGTGAAGCGCTACAACATCAAGGATATTTCAGCAGGGGTAATTCCAGGGGAGAACAATAATACATTTGCCAATAATTACATTTTCAAATGTGAGTAACAGACTGAGGCTGCTAGTAGGACTGAAACACATTGATATTAAATTAATTATGTAGCCAAGAGAGTCCACTAATAAGCGTGACTAAATTAAATAAGATTGCTGGAATTTCAATAACTAAAAGGTATACTGGAGGTAAACAGCAGAAGGACATTCCCCTATGCCTCCCTTTTGCTCTTCAGGCTTTAGTGCTGTGTGAGAGCCCTGAGAAGGAGACCAAACCAGTGATCTCCTAAATAAATGGGTGGGGAAGGAGGCCCCTGATCCACTGGGAAGGTGCAGTGGTGGGTGACCAGGACCAGGATGGTAACTGGAACTTCCTCTTCCCCTTCACAGTTCTCTTTCCACTCATGGTGGAAAACCAGTATGTCATTTCGTAAAATGGAGGGGTGAGATAAAACGCTGAGTTTTCCCCCCTGTCTTTTACCCATTGCCACTACCTTCTTTTTCAAAGTAATCTTTCACATTGGCACGCTCCACTGTTTCTGCTCCTGGCTGTTTCCCGAATTCACCACTAGATTATTCCCATTCTCCTTTTTGGCTTGATTCTCTCTCTCTCAGACCCTCAGTATCATCTGGCAGTGTGCCTGTGTCCCTTTACATTGCTCCAACACCAACTCTAACAAGTGGGGAAAAAAACTCAAGCCAACCTGTCCATACTTGCAAATACTGTTTCTCACTTAATCTCATTCCAGCTTGGTACCATTCCTTGAGCTCTGAGCATTTTGCACCTGAAATTCCCAGGATCAGAAAACCTCCTTCCATGGATGCACATACCTTCTTATTGAAGAAAATTTCTCCTACTACTTAAACCTCTTCCTTTTTAAGTACAGCTCTATACAGTCAGGGTTCCTCATTAGCAGCTAGGTTTGTTTTAGAATACTGTTAATATTACAGCTAACAGCTGTGGTATTGATAAGAATTAAACCAGTTAGCCTTCAGGATGTAACATAAGCTCTCCACTGCCCATTGGAAATGGACAGTGGTGGTCTCCGTAATGGAGTGTCACACTAAATATCGCCCCCCATGTGAGGCTAGATTTCTTTCCAGCTTTTTAGAACAACTTTCCCTGTTGCCTACTCCTCAGATATCATAGCCATTGCTACTTGCTTTGTAGAAGAGCTTTCTAAGCGATATATGACAGACCAGTCAGAAATGTCAATTGTCCCTAATATAATGGACTAGGTGAGTGACAGTGCATTTTTCTCCATCTCTGCTGTGCTGCTAATCCTCCCACTCACTAGCCCCGGCAAACAGAGGGCCAGCCTATTTTCTAACAATGCCAAAGAGTGCTCTGAAGGTCACAGGCAAGAGCTCTTTGGGTGTCTTGACATGCCCCTAAATAATCTACAAGAGGCAAGGAGAGAAATATGTTGTTGATTAAGAAAGAATAGATAGGAGTAAAAAGCATTTGGATGGAAAGAGTCATAAGCTACTCAGAATAGAGCATTACTGGCTTGATTTTAACATATTCCAGGCACTCACAAAACTCGAAATCTATGGAAGATGTGAGTGCTCTTCAGAAGATCATGGCCATATGGTGTGTATATTTGTTTGCTCCAAACTGCCTGCCAGCCTAGAAGCTGCTATTTGGGATGTTAATGCTGAAAAATGAAATATTTAAAACTGATGAAATGATTCCTTTGAATTAGATGCTTCTGGCTGGTTTTAGCATCCTGAAAGATGGAATATATGAGCTGCCCAAGTACAGTACTTTCATGTACTTTTGCATCTAGTCTTACCGTGCAAGAGTCTCCAGACCTGAACAGTTAAAGACTAGTAAACTAGATCTGCTGAACTATCTAAAAAGTGGGCTTTGGTTTGAAAGAGATTGAGTGTAGTTTCTATCTTTGAAGCTAAACTGATTTAGTTTATCTTTACAATTTATTTTTAAGGTCCTTACAATCACACTTAGGAACGGAATATCCCTTAAGCTGTTTTGAAACTGCTGACAATAAAGTATACTGTATTACTGCTATAATACCCAGAAACTTAATATATTTTAATCATTTTAGTTTTTGATGGTGAATCTGTGAAGCACTACAGGATCAGAAAGCTGGATGAAGGTTTTTTCTTAAACCGACTGAGAACTTTTGCAACTCTGAATGAGTTTGTTGACTATTACAGTAAAAACAATGATGGCCTCTGCATAACACTTGGGAAGCCATGTCTAAAGGTAAGAGTGGATGCTACATCGTAGAACATACTTTTATAAGCTAATTCTTTCGCTGTCTCTCTGAAGGTGTTAGCCCCATAACTGTTTCCACCATTTCAAAATGATGATTACCTCGTTATTTTCCGGAAGTCCTGGATAGCATTACAGCTTCATTCTTGAAGCTGACACATTGCTAATAAAATACCGTGCCATTTTGAACAAATCATCATGTGACTGGAGGAGAAAATATGCCAGATAATGATTTATGAATACCTTTTTGTAAATGGATATGGAGATGAAATCACCAACTTCATAACTCTAGCCGTCTATAAGTAATTACTGAGACAAAACCACTAGTTTCAGGAAAGCAATACATCATTGTTCTGAAGAGCTTGCTAGAGGGATGGTTTCTAATTATTATTTTTTAATGGCAGGATATTTTCTTTAGAGTTAAATAATAATTTAGCAACAAAAAGTACCCAAGATATGGGATGTACTTTATGTACCCAGCACACTTTATCATATGTCTGTGCTCTAAAGAAACATTATTCATTTCAGTTGCAACTGTATGTAACAAAGTTAACAATGACTTGTATAAGTTGTTGAAAAGTATTAGCAATCTAAATTACTGTATTATTTCTTCTCTTAAACCAGGTACAAACTCCTACTACTTTTGATTTGTCTTATAAAACTGTGGATCAGTGGGAGATAGACCGAAGCTCTCTGAAATTGTTGAAAAAATTAGGATCTGGTCAGTTTGGTGAGGTATGGGAAGGACTGTGGAATAATACCACCCCTGTGGCGATCAAAACATTAAAACCAGGTATGTGAATTACACTTAAATGTAATAAATTCAAAAGTTGGCAATCCCCTCCTTTATTTTTTAAATTATACTGAAAATATAGCCTATCCCTAAAAGCAATCGTTCTTAAAATACACACACTTTAAAAAGGAGTCTGGCAAAGCTCAAGATCCTGAAATACTTTGGTATTTTGAATTACAGTTTTATACAATTCTGTTTCTCTATCAGCTGAATACATTCTTGTCTGATAGTTAATACGTAAAAACACAACTCCCGCAAATCCATCCCTTTTGTATAATATTGCTTGTGTGGAAGTGAATGACTGCATTTCATTTGTAGCTGAAATAATAATATTAATGTTGTGGTATTTAAGAAGCACTTTCATCTTAATAATGATTAAATATTTGTTTTTGATATGCAGCATTTATTCCCAATATTTGCATATAGTATAGGCTTATGACTGATGCGGCTTTTAAAAATTTTTCGTGTTTATTGTTGATTAACTTAATGTAATCTGTTCATTTTAAAACAAAAACATCTGCCAGCAGATGGCAAGAATCTCATAGATAGGAAGGGTAGCCTGGATGAAATACACATTTTTAAAATGAGAAAACATTATAACGTGTTGTGGTTAATTGAAAAAGCTTGTGTTGGGCATTAATGATTATGTTTCAGGAATCAAAACAGATTCAGATCTTCAGTTCAGCAGAACACCTAACTATGCTTGAGTCCTCTTTGAACGCTCTCCTGAACAGGGAGGAATTTATGCAGGCATTTTAGAGCTATCTTGTATGAGGATACTGTATGCATTTTGGGACCTGCAAATTCAAAGCAGATAGGAAACATTCCCTTGGCAGTACAAACCTATTCCTTTTTGTCTTATCCACTATGGCTATGGGGTACACACTATTCTCTTCCTCTTTACGAACTAGAAAACTATTATCATATTCCTTTTCAATCTTCTCTTCTTTACCTATCTAAAGTGTGTTAGAAGTCGCATCGTTTTCAGAATACATTCTCTGAGCTGTTTCTAGGTGGTAACCATTCTTTTTTTCCAAATGTGACCATAAAAGGAAGCAACTTCACCAGTGTCCAGCTGCAGCTTCACCAAGCCTGAGTAAAAGGGAATAGCTTCATTTCTTATAGGCTTCTGTTTAAACAGCCCAATATGCTGCTTGCCTTTCTTTTCCATAAGACAAGGATCTAGTTTGTCCATCTGAGTTTACTTTCTTCTAATGATTTAATGCAACATCTGAATAAGTCTGTTTTATTGAAAGACAGTGAAGCATTCTTCCTAAACTATGAAATCTCTTAAAAATATAATTAAAACAGGAAGTTGAATGAAAGTAGAATCAAGATTAAGCTATCTTAAGTTTTTGTGTCATTAATTTTTCTTTTAACAGTTGTCTTTTTCTTTCCTCTTTAAGAAAGAATGTGATAACTAGCACTCTAAAAAGATTTATTTCTCATCAAACAAAATAACTTAATTTTGCACACATTGCAACACATAGATTTCTACCTGTTTTCTTCAGGGGGAAAGTGGAGCTGGCATTTATCTGGTATTGCATATTCAGAATGGAAAGCTATCTTAGTCATTTTTTATCTCCCTCTTTTAATAACTTTTCTCAAAACTCTGCTTCAGCTTCCCCTTCTGCATAAGACTTGCAGTTGATGATCAGGTTCAGTGCCCTCCAAGGTGAGCAGGAGCTGGGCATGACTTCAAGTGAACCAGCTGAGCCGATGGACCCTATACCATACAGGAACACCCAGAACAAGCGATAAGTGATTGCTGTGGGTGACTCCCTTTTGCAGGGGACAGAGGCACCTGTCTGCCAGCCTGGCACCTTCTCTAGAGAGGTTTACTGCCTGCTGGGGGCTCGGATCCAAGATGTCAAGAAAGATTGCTGAGGCTTGTGCACACATCTGACTATTACCCCCTGCTGCTCTTCAACGTGGGTACCAATGATACTGCCAAGGGCAACTTGGAAAGTACCAAATAGGATTACAGAGACCTGGGATGGTCGTCAGGTGTGTGGGGGCCCAGGTCGTTTTCTCCTTGATCCTGCCAGTGAGAGGGAAGCATGGGAGGAGAAGTAGATGGATTCTCCAAGTAAACAACTGGCTGCTCTGCTGGTGTTGGCAACAGGGTTTTGGTTTCTCGGACCATGGGACCATGTTTGAAGACTGGCAACAGATAGGGAGAGATGAGATCCACCTTACTAGATGGGACACATGCATCTTTGCCAACAGGCTGGCCAACCTTATAAGAAGGACTTCAAACTAGGAAAGATGAGGGAAGGGGAGAATTATAGAGACCATGCAGTCAGCAAAATAAGGCTCAAGTGGGGATACCTCCAGTAATGGCATGCAGCTAAGGAAGTACCTATGAGACAAGACTATAGGGAAACCTCTTGCACCCCTTCTGGGAAATCAGCATGCTTGGATACCTCTCTGAAGTGTCTGTACACAAATGCACAGGGCATAAGAAGAGTATGTGGTCACAGAGCTATGATCTCATTGCAATTACAGAGATATGGTGGGATAGCTTGCATCACTGTAATGCTACCATGAATGGCTACATGCTCTTTATGAAGGACAGGCCAGGAAGGCGAAGAGGGGGAGCCACCCTTTACATGAGAGAGAAACTGGAATGTATTGTGCTCTGCCTAGGGGTGGACGATGAATGGGTTGAGAGCTTATGGGTAAGGATTAAAGGGCACACTAACATGGGTGACAGCATTGTGGGTGTTTGCTACAGGCCGCCTGATCAGGAAGAGGAAGTAGATGAGGCCTTTTACAGACAGCTGGAAGTAGCCTCCCAATCACAGGCCCTGGTTCTCCTGGGGGACTTTAACCATCCTGACATTTGCTGGAGGAACAACACAGCAAGGCACAAGCAATCCAGGAGGTTCCTGCAGAGCACTGATGATAACTCTTGACACAAGTGATAGAGGAGCCAATGAGGAGAGGTGCATTGCTGGCCCTTGTACTAACAAACAAGGAAGGTCTGGTTGGAGATGTGAAGGCTGGGGGCAGCCTTGGCTGCAGTGACCATGAGGTGGTGGAGTTCAGGATCCTGTGAGGAGGGAACAGGAAAAATTAGGATCACAACCCTGGACTTCAGAAGAGCTAACTTTGGCTTCTTCATGGACCTTCTTAGAAGAATCCCATGGGATAGGGTCCTAGAAGGAAGAGAGATCTAAGAGAGCTGGTTAATATTCAAGTATCACCTCCTCTAGGCTCAAGAATGGTGATCCCTAAGAGCGAGGAGTCAAGCAAAGTGGGCAGGAAACATGCATGGAAGAACAATGGGCTTCTGGCCAAACTCAAACAGAAGAAGGAAGTGTACAGGAAGTGGAAGGAGGGACAGGCCACTTGGGATAAATATAGGAATATTGTCCTAGCATGCAAGGATGGTACTAAGAAGGTCAAGGCTTTTGATTCTGTAAGGCTTTTGACGCTGTCTCATCCTCATAGGAAGCTCAGAAAGCGTGGGCTGGATGAGTGGACAGAGTGAGGTGGATTGAGAACTGGCTAGATGGCAGAGCTCAGAGGGTTGTGATCAGTGGCACAAAGTCTAGCTGGAGGCCTGTAGCTAGCAGTGTCCCCCAGGGGTCAATACTGGGTCCAGTACTGTTTAACTTATTCATCAGTGACCTGGATGAAGGGACAGAGCGCACCCTCAGCAAGTTTGACAATGATACAAAACTGGGAGGAGCAGCTGATCCACCAGAGGGCTGTGCTGCCATTCAGAGGAACCTGGACAGGCTGGAGAGGTGGGCCGAGAGGAACCTCCTGAAGTCCAACACAGGCAAGTGCAGGGCCCTGCACCTGGGGAGGAATGACTTCATGCAGCAGTACAGTACTGTCTGGGGGTTGACCTGCTGCAAAGCAGCTCTGCGGAGAAGGACCTGAGGGTCAAGTTAAGCCTGAGCCAGCAATATGGGCTTGTGGCCAAGAAGGCCAATGGTATCCTGGGTTACACTAGGCAGAGTGTTGCCAGCAGGTTGAGGGAGGTGATCCTGCCCCTCTCCTCAGCCTTGGTGAGGCCTCGCCTGGAGCACTGTGTCCAGGCCTGGGCTCCCCAGTACAAGAGAGACATGGAGCTCAAAGATGATGAAGAGACTGGAGCATCTCTCCTCTGAAGAAAGGCTGAGAGAGCTGGCCCTCTTCAGCCTGGAGAAGAGAAGACTGAGGGGGGATCTGATCACCCCTGAAGGGAAGGTATCCAAAGGATGGGGCCAGACTCTTCTCCGTGGTACCCAGCGATAGGACAAGAGGCAACAGGCACAAAGGAAGAACTTCTTTTCTGTGAGGGAGACTGAGCACTGAAACAGGTTGCCCAGAGAGGTTGTGGATTCTCCATCCTTGGAGATACTCAAAATCCATCTGGACACAATCCTGGGCAATGTGTTCTAGGCAACCCTGCTTGAGCAGGGGGGTTGGACTAGATGATTTCCAGAGGTCCCTTCCAATCTCAACCGTTCTGTGATTCTGTGATAATGAGGACAGTATATATTATCAGTTTTCCAAGAAGCAGTCTTCTGTTTTTATAATGGACTCAAGCAGAACTGAAAAGACTACCCAGTAATACATGAAACCCACATGGAATAAGAAGGCTGAGTTTCAGCTGCAATTTGCCTCCTTGTTTTTCTTTTTGATGTTGTCCAGCTAACTTACTGCTAATACTCCACCTCAAGAAAAGAAAAAGTGTTAGTGAAATCCAATTTTATATCTGAAACAGATCTTAATGTGTTTAAAGCCAAACTGATCTGCAGTTTTCTTTCACTGTTGTTCAATTCATTATCCTTTCAATGGCTTGCTGATAAAGCACAGAGAGAGCATAATACTTCTAGTCCAATGTAAACAGGAAAAGAAGAAAGTGTTTTTCAGTTTCTACATTAATAAGTTGTTCTAAGGATGCACTCGTAGTAAACTATAAAATGATAAAAATGATCACACAAACTTCAGTAGGTTTTTAAGCTAAAAATGAAAATTTTACACTGGAATAAACAATCATG